GCTGAAAACAAATCAACCAAACTTCCCCTGAGCAACAAAAGCTGCGGTCTATTTTGACATGCAGACGCTCCTTGAGGGTTGCGATTGCGGTACCGGTGTAATGCATGCGGGCTGGCTGCCAACTGTCTGGGTCAGAGTGGCCAAGTAGGTAGCGTTGTCTGTCTGTCTGGACCGCAGGAGCGCTACAGCTAAAGAAACATTTGCGAAAAGCCCTCCTTTCCAAAAAGGCTACCACCAGTGTTTGGAGTCCGGTCTTTTCCTCGGATCGTCACCGCTGTGTCACCTGGATCCGCTTGTGTGCTGCAGTTTGTAGTTTGCACATGCTGCCTTCAAGCGCGTCAGTGAGTAAAACTAATCTGCAGAAATATCAGCTTGCACAGCTGACATGTATGCGTCCGTTCCAGCGCGGGTTTTACACGTCATTTGTATTGTATTGCCACGTTTTTGTCACGGCGTATCAGCCATTAAACGGTCATCCGTGTACTTAAAGAGGTACTGGCACAAATGGAACCGACACCAGTGCTCCTCGTGGAAATCTGTAATATGGGGTGTTCAGCGTTGCCTTACTTTTTCATTCATTGATTACAAACCACAGATAGAGTCAAAGCTTGCCATCAAGCCTGCTATAGTTAGTTGCTCAGTATAAGCAAAGAAAAAGAATGAGAGCGAAGCTTTCCTCTGTTCCTACAACAGAAATGTGAGATTATAGTTCTAATGCTTGGTGTTGGTCTACAGTATGTCACTGTAAGCTTAACATCTTTGGGGTTTTGTTAGTCAGATATAGCTTTGGGTAAGCAAAATGATTAGCTTGGACCAATCAGATTGGTCACTATGAAAGTATTCACTTTATTTATTTATTTTTTTTAAATATATCATCTTTTGACTGAAAAATATATATATAAAAAAAACTCAGATTATATTAGATGAAAATCTCCAGTGGTCTTAAAAATGGCTCCAACTAGCTGTCAAAAATGCAGATATTAAATAGGTACAAAGTTTTAGAATAGTCAGTAGCCAATTGAACTAGCACTTGACGACCAATAAATCAGCTAACAGAGTGGGGTATCGTTGGGTAATCGCTGCTTAATTTTCTCCACAGCAGTGCAGATGGATTGGTCAAGACAAAGATACAGAGCTTCCTGTTTGCGTCTGATGGATTACAGTGTTTTGTATGACCTGCTGACATGAATTCAGAGGCTGGTGAGATGTGGGAGTGCTCATCTTCAGGAGAAATCTGAGACCTGAATGAGCCTTCAAGCACGGTGAGAGCATTTTAATTGAAGGAGGCGCACCATGGACTTGTTGTGGTCTGCCATCAGACCCATTATGTCCTTTTAACCCACTTGTAGCACCCTCTACCCCTACCCCATGTCACATCTTTCCCTGAATTATGGAAATTTTGTGGAAGACGCTGACTTGGACACTGAGCCTGGTGGTGATGACTGCTTCTGAATTTCAAAGTATCAGCAAACTCTCACATAACTCCCAAGGTATGGTGGTGACACATGGACAAAAAAATTCTGCTGTTCTCAACAGCTTATTTTCATAACATCTTCTCATTTCTGTTCCATTCTCTTCTTTTCCTGGTCAAAGAGGAGTTCCTGTCCTACCTGCAGCACTACCAGTTGACTGTCCCGGTGCGGGTGGATGAGAATGGAGAATTCCTGAGCTACACTGTGAAGCACCACCGGCCAGGCCGACGGAGACGGGGGGCGGTGGATCCGATGATGGGAGCCCAGCCCGCGTTAGACCCACTGGAGCCCCGACTGTTCTACAGACTGTCAGCCTATGGAAAGCACTTTCACTTAAACCTGACTCTCAACCCCCACTTGGTGTCAAAACATTTTACAGTGGAGTACTGGGGTAAAGAAGGGCTGGAGTGGCGGCATAATATTGTAGATAACTGTCACTATATTGGATTCTTGCAAAATCAGCACAGTACAACTAGAGTGGCACTCAGCAACTGCAAAGGCCTGGTGAGTACAAAGTGCTACAAGGTTCACAGCTCTTACGAACACCCCCCCCCCCATGTTTATGTCAGACATAACTAGGTTGTGGTTCTGTCGCTGCAGCCAGTCTTTTGGTAGATTCGACAGAATATTATCACAAGATTATTGCAGTTTGCTTAAGAGAATCTTGGCTTTTTTTTTCTGCATGGCGCACTGAGCCTGCAGGCAGCTTGGAGTGACTTGATGTTTATGTAGAAAAAAAATCACATCATCTCAGTGATCTGATAGTGATAACCATCTGTGCTTTTCTTCCCACTTGTGTGCTGGATGTCACACTTGAGTAGTTGAGATCACATTTCTTAAGCAGATCCTTGTGTGATCTTTAAACGATATCCCTATAAATGTGCAGGTTTCAGTTCAAAAACAAAACTGAGCAGCTCTAATACGGCATCTAATTATCCTGTCTAAGCTTTTATTCCTGAGGCTTTTGTCCACAGACTGCGTGACTGTTCAGTACCCCTTAACTAATCACGGAATTGGGCCAAATTTTAAAAGCTGTTATCCCTCCATGCTCGAGAGTAACTCTAAAGAAGTAAAAAAAAAAGAAAAAGGCCCTGCTTCTTGTTGGCAAATGTAATCATGTGGGGGAAACGTTTAGCCAAATGTGTTGGCAAGACATAGCACTGAGTATCATAAATTGAATTAGTGTTTGCCCTTTTTTTCTTACATCACCAAAAATGGACAAAACTGTGTCTGTACTTTAATGTAATCAGCTGTCTGGACATTTTGAGATCTTGACATCACACACTATTAAAACCCTACATCAAAAATGTTTCTGTAGGCTAGTGTGATATGTGGTTAATTGCTTTTATTGTGGGTTTTACAGAGCCAAGCCAGTGTTTCCTATAAACCCACTCTGAAGGACTTCTCCTAGTTTATGCTCCAGAGGGGGCATTGACAGGGGGAGAAGAATGTTTTAATGCTGGTCTGGATGTAACTGATTGTTTGGGGTTCTTAAATTTTACTGCAGATTAGTGACTAATGCATTGTATATGTGAAAACATGTCCCTAATGAGAAGCAAGAGGTCGCATAAGGGGATGTATTAGTTGTTTAAAGGGACACTCCAAAATGACTATCTTGTTTTTTTGTTGTTGTTTTTTTAATTAGCTGCCCAAATTCTGGATTGTACTTTTTTACAACTTGCTACAAAGCAAAATCTTTTTTCACATGTTTCCCACCTGACAAGTGCCCAGTATTTTCAGACTTTAAAAATGAGGGTTTGGAACACCTGCTATCCAGATTCAAACTGACGTGACTCTGTTATGATGTCAGCATGACAATCCGTCAGTCAGAAGTGGAAAATAATAGGGCTGTTGGAGGTGCGTAGGCTTTAGTTGTGATATGGCTTCCAATAATCATTGTGTTCAAACTGTCCACTGTAAATAAAAGATGGAATCAGGCACTATGACATCAGTGTCAAGCTTGAGTGTTGGCGTTCTAGCTGCTGTGTTCGGTCTTTGTAGTAAGAAACGACCATATTTGGATGACTGGGTGGAGGTCCAAGTTATGAGCTAATGCTAGCTAGCTTGATTATCTATCTCCATTCATAACTGAAGCCCAAACATCTTGGACAGTGTGCACCTCACAGCAAGCTTTATTGTTTATCAGATAATTACAATATAATTTCATCATTAAAATTTCCCAAAAGCCACCAACACAGAACCTCCAAAGGTCCAATTCAGTGACTTCTCTTAAAAGAAGTAAGGCCTACAAAAGAGTGACGGGATATAGCAACGTAGACACTTGTCAATTAAGGTGGCCATGCCCATAATTCCATTACCAAGAGTGATTAATTTATATTACAAAATGTCCCACCATAGACTTATTATGGTGGGAACCTATTCACAAAACCAAACCATTTTATACATGTCACTTTTTGAGCCAGCCTCAAGTGGTCATTAGATGAAAAGCAGTTTTTGGCATTTTTTTGAGTTTTCCCTTGAGACATGGCTGCTTGGTTCAAACTATCTCCCTTGGATTTCAGAACTCAATAATAATAATAATAATAATAATAATAATAATAATAATAATATAGCTTGAATGTTTGTGCTTTTTCTTCATATATATTCATAAAAGCAGATTTTGAAAATGTTCACCTGTTGAAACAAAGGATGCCTGAGTTTCCTTCATGTCCGCCTGTCTGAGCACAGACAAGAGTAACAAGTGTCTAAACTAGGATTGCTCCTTTAATAAAATGATTATGAAATACAGTGCTTTTTCTTAAGACTGTACTTTTAGTACCAATGTTTCCTGTTTTTAACCTGCTTTTTTTTTTTCATTGATTTTCTTCCCCAACAAGCACGGTGTTATTACAACAGAGGAAGAACAGTATTTAATAGAGCCTTTAAAGAACATATCCTCAACCACCTCTGGTGAATGGAACCTGGAAGAAGCACAGCAGCATGTTATTTATAAAATGTCTGCCATTCCCTCACCACAAGAGCATAGCCAGGAGTTCAGCTGTGGCATTTCAGGTTGGTGAACCTCCATCTGGGTTGGACTCTGTGTGGGTGGAACTGACGTAAAGGAATAACTATACATAGCAAGTTAGAGGAAGTGCTGGTTTGGTTCTAGGCCCAGGTTCTGTTAGACATGACCGGGCCTCTTGTGTGCTATAGTTGCTCCTGGCCTGGACACCTTTCAACCTGTGACAGAAAGTCTTGCTCCAGCTTTCATATAACGCCCTTCAGTGCATAAAGAAGACTTTACAGAAGAACAAATTCTATTTCTAGGACCAATAATCATCTTGAGAATTTAAAATTCTCAGTTTCGCCAATGCTCTGTTTGCTGAGATACGTTGAGTTAGAACCAAAAATAACCAGGTGGATATTTAGGTATTCGGCCAGGGTCTTATGAGAAAGAGCAAAGACTGTCATCACCAGGAAGCCAGCATGCCCTAACATGCAGCATCTTATAGCTTTTTCCCAGAGCATCTGCTGGGCCATAAAACAAAGACTTTAGCTGCTAGGTTCAAAGTGGCAGATTCCATATCTGCACCTATCACACACAAACCAGCTCTCTCTCAAACAGATAATGTGTCACGCTTCTGATTGTTACCTCACTCTTACCTGTCTTTGTCTCCCTGTCATTCACAGACCTCATTAAAACCAGTGCACCTTGCCAGCTTAGCACGCCTTCGCCCCAAAACTACAGCAAGCTGTCAAACAGCACCCACAGACAGAAGCGATCGATCAGCACTGAGCGCTTTGTGGAGACGCTTGTGGTCGCTGATAAAATGATGGTCGGTTACCACGGACGCAAAGACATTGAGCATTACATCCTGTCCGTAATGAATATTGTAAGTTTGAGCCTACTTTTTCGGTCAAGTCTACACTCATGATTTCTCCATTGTTGCTCATGTTCTTCGTGGACAGGCAGAGTAGTGTGGCACAGTTGTCTGACTTTGTGTCTTTTCTTCTTTTCTGGAGGTCAGGTTGCCAAACTTTACCGTGATGCCAGCCTAGGAAATGTTGTGAACATTATTGTGACCCGGCTGATTGTTCTGACTGAAGATCAGGTAAGAGACGGTCTCTTTTTTTCTGTTTTAAGCCACTTCTTCTAGTATCTATATCCTCACCTGTATTGAGTGTATAACTGTATAACGCAACTTCTGTGTAGAAAGGGTAGAGAGTAGAAAGACTCTTCACCATATGGACACCACTTCACATGAAAGCTGTGCTCAGGTATCTTCCCTCAGGGAGCTTCTATTGAGCATTTGTACATGTACTATACATGTGCATGTATGTGTGATGAGAGAAACAGAGGGTCTTCCTACCATCTGTTTTTCTGAAAGGGTCTAGCAACTCTTTTTGTAGCATCAGTTCCAAAAATGATGTCAAGTGGAATCAAACTTTAAATTTATATGAAGCGGCACTAGTATATCAGTCATTATGAAAATTCACATTGTATGCAGAATGTTTTCTAATTATTTGGTGGGTAAGCTGACATCAGCACAGTTTAATTACCCTTTGCATGGAAGTAGAAGCATTTACCAAACTCCACTATAACATCCCCAGTTGTCCTTCTACATTAGCTACTTTTCCTCCCTGTTTTCCAATAGTGCAAGTCCTCTGCTCCTTCTATGAGTCATCTTTTTCTTCCTGCTCTAAATGGTTTTACCTTTACTACAACTGCATCGTCTCCTAAATCAAAGACAAAACCCATGTCTTCTGCAAAATCTGGTCCTCTAACATCCCTCTGATCCCCTAACAGTACTCCTCCAATAATTCATTCAGATAATCGTTCTACTTTGGCTCAGTGTTTAGAGCTGTCAATGCATGACAATAAATTCAGTGCCCTTTTTTTGTTTTGAGCTTCTTTTTTTTAAAAAACTTTTTTGTTTTGCATGCATGCAATTTTTTGGACAGCAGGCAATAGGCCTCCAGGTTTCTGGGTATAAAGTCATGTGAAAAGAAAGTTTTTCACTGTCAAATCTCCATTGTGTTTGACACCCAGTGATGGATTGTGCATTATGGTCAAATGTGTCAGATTTGGGCTCATCTGTCCAAAGGGCTGAGACCTGTAGAGTCTGAAATGTAGCTCTTGGGTTTTTTACAATTTCTCTGAGCATTGCACAATCTAATCTTAGGGTGAATTAGCTGGGATATCCACTGGGCTGATTGTGGTGTTATGTTAACATACAACAAAATACTCCAGGCCAGCAAACTGCCAATTGCCTCTATAGAGGTTCTCACACTTGCCGATGATCAATTAACCTGCATTTAAACAGCAGGACGTAGGTGCTAATCAATCGTAAATCAAATGAATCAAATGTATGAAGCGCCTTGAGGCGACTTTTGTTGTGATTTGGCGCTATATAAATAAAATTGAATTGAATTGAATTGAAATGGAGAAGTGCCTTAAACCTCCATTCTTTTAAGCAACTAAAAGGGGGCAATAACTGTGGTTTCAAAAAAACTTGCATTCCTATAAAATTCTAAGTTAAACCTGCCCTTGGACCTGACCTTGTTAAAAACCTTGTTGATGTATATATGGGCTCAGTCACTTATTTTGAGTCATGCTGAGTAAAACATTTAGTTGTAAATTTAGCTTATTCTGTGTTTCAGAAAGGAGGATTATCCAAAGTATGGCCGCATTGGCTAACGACTTGTGATTAAAAAGTCATTGGCCAACGAGGATGCAATTTTACTTCTCCTGATCACATTACTCATTTTAAAACAGCAAGTCAATGAAGGCAAAATTGTTCATCTTGACATAATAAACCAATGGATGAGTTCATGGTAGCTGCATCCATCCTTTATAATGTCTATGGCCACAACGCAACATGGGAAAAACATCATGATGGAATATGAAGAAAGATGCTAAGACTTGACATCTGTGCTTGTGATGAAGAGATGTCAACTTAAGTTAAAAGTAGGAGCTGGCTGTACTTTTGTAAGGTACCAGTTTGTACCATGAGATGGTGCAGTGAGTGAACCTCAGCTTTAAGTCATTAATAACACATTCTTACCTGCAAAAAAAGCAAAGCCTGTTGAGAAAATGAATGTAGGGCTTAAATGAAATATCAAAATTTGAAAGAACTTTTTGAACATGTCTGCTGGTAAAATACTGCCCACTATGGTAAATATTTTAGTTCAAATTTGCAGAGGATAATTACGAACCGCACGTATCTAGCATCACCCAATATTTTTTGGTGCTGATGGAAATTGCGTTTTCTTCTATCACTTTGTTTTTCATGTCTGTTTTTTGCAGCCAAATCTGGAAATTAATCATCATGCTGACAAGTCTCTGGACAGTTTCTGTAAGTGGCAGAAGTCCATCCTGTCTCATCACAGCGATGGAAACAGTATTCCAGAGAATGGGATGGCTCATCATGACAATGCTGTCCTAATCACCCGGTAAGAGTTGGCTAACAGCTACAGAACAGGACAACATGTTGCTCACACACCATTATAATAATCCAGTGTTGAAATACAATTTTTCAGTTCTTACTTTATTTGTAATTTTCTCATCTTGAGCAAATACAGGTTATTTTCTGTGGTGTGCCTTCAGCAAATGCCGACAGCTACAGCACCGGAAAATCCAAAAGTCCAGGTCTTGTGTGCACACTTTACCTGTAATAGCTCACGGGAATAAATGCCATCGTTTTGAAAGTAAAATGTGCTGTTACGGACGTAATGTACCTGTCATCCCGCAATTTATGTCATAAAATAATAAAACTCTGTCATTACCTGGAATAGACTTTATTGTTGCCAGAACTGTTTTGGCTACTTAACCTGGCAACTGATGTGTATACTCCTCCAGCTGCTTCTATCTAGAGAGAGGATGGGGTTCTGTGATTGACATTGCCAAAGGCAAAGTTTTTGATTCTCTAGTTTGCATAAAACAGCCTTTTTATCATTAGTGCTAGCGTGTTGTCTGCCAGTTAATATCCTCCAGCTTCTTTGGCTGTTGGTTTTATTATTGGTTTTAGCTTCACTTTGCACCAACAGCAAAGGCTGCTTAATAGGGCCTGCCTGCAGTGGTCATGGAGTTTGCCTTTTTGGCTTTCCCTTTTTAGCAGGAAGCTGAGAAATGTTATTGTTTTCATAAACCAAAAAAATCATGGAAGGGGCTTTTAACTCACAAACTATTTTTTTTAAACATTTCAGTTTGAGGGCATGAATTAACTTGGATACTTGGTTACAGATGAGCTCTAAGGAAGCTGACAGACCCAATGCTCTGACATATAAAAGGCCCATTAGGTTATTATACCTGATGGTCATTGCAAACAAACATTGGTCTACAAATCTATCATCTGTCACAGTTTGTTCACAGCAAAATCCAAGTAATAAATACGATATCCACATTGTTTTTCTTGGGGATTAGAATATTGTGCCGATCTCTCGAGTCGTATTTGAATGAAAAGGCTGATTACAAGCAAGATGTATTTATTAACCATGGGTATGAGTGCATAGCATAGACAGTATAAAAGAAAAGTCTGAAAGGTAAGCAAAGTAAAATCTGTGATTGCAAAAAGACTTCCTGTCCTATAGAAGTCTATGGGAAAATAGCTGCCAACCCTTTCCTCAATTCACGCTTTCCTGATGACTTGAGCTCCGTCACGTGTTTTAGGTCATAGTCAACAAAACTCATATTTAATAAAACATTAAATCCATCTAGTAAATGTTGTTTTTTTTCTAAGTGTTATAAAGCAGGATTATCCATATGCTCATTGGTGATGAGCTCATTGGCCGGGGCCTTTCTGTGTGGCGTTTTCCCCATGTCTGTGTAGGCTCTTTGTGGGTACTCTGCCTTCCTATCATAGACCATAGGTGCAAATGTGAGTGTGAATGGTTGTCTGTCTCTCTGTGTTAGCCCTGCATCAGATTGTTGACCAGTCCAGGGTGTACATTGCCTTCCACCTCTATGATAGCTGGGATAGGCTCCAACTTCCCTTGCGACTCTGAATAAGAATAAGCTGAAGAGAATGGATGAATCGATGGATGGATGGGCTTGTTTAAATGAGTTTGGTTTATAAAAATACACCACTTCTATAGCTGTGATGAAATTAGCCACAGACACTTTTCCTGCAGATCTTTGGTAACATGGATCAGTGTGAATGAATGACTGAAAGTTCTTGTTAGCATAAAACAAGAATGTCATTGTCCAGCCTTTGTTTTGAAATGGGTGGTGTCAAAACCTTTGAAAGATTGGGGGAATAAATCAAAAATGGATTAGAAAAGTCAAAGTAGGGTCACTTAAAAGAGAACAGAGAGAGAAAGAGAGAGGAGTGATTCAAAGACAAAGGAGTGAGGGTGGTAGGTGATGGTGGAGGTGGTGGTAGTAGGGTAAAATTTAAGTTGCTGTGCTCTTGGTTTTAATAGATTAAAAGCTTGTGGTATGATTGTCTCATTAATTTGAATGCAATCCTGTAAAAATTTCCTTTTCCTTTGTTTTTTTTTTTTTTGACTTTTGCTCTATTGATTTAACTGTGAAAGCCCACGGCACAACCAAAATTATTGGGACCATGAACGTGATCTCATTGCTTTTGAAGTGGTTCCTTCAAAGAGGTGGACCAGCTCTGTGACCACTGGCAGTCAACTGCTGTCTTCAAACTAACTTTAGTGTATCAAGACGGCAATTAAAGGGCAATAAGATGGAGTTAGCTTGCCATC